GAGGCGGCAATGTCCGACTTCTGCAGGGCAATCTGCTGGGCCCGGGCCGCCGCCACCACCGCCGACTCGATCCGCTCCCTTAGCTTGCTGCTCCGCATCATAAAGAGGTGCTTCTTGCGGATATTGGTCACCAGTTGGTTGTTCTTGTACTTGCCCTCCTCCCTGGTGCCGTCGGGGAATGTGGTCACGCCGTAGCCGTACTTCTTGTTGTTGTACCACTCGCCCTCGTACTTCAGGCCGTCGGTGCGCTCGCAGATGCCGAAGCCGGCCCGCTTGTCGTTTTTCCACTCGCCGTAGTACGTCTCCACGGTGGCCGGGTCGCTGATGTCGCCGTTTTGGCTGAGGAAGCTCGCATTGCTGCCCATCTCCGCCTGACTTGCTCGCAGGCCGCCCTCGCCGGTCCTCGAGTCAGTTTCGCTGCCCTCGCGGCTGCTGCGCAGCGAGGGCGTCATTGATTTGGTGTTTCGCTGGCTCCGGACGTCCAGGTCGCCGGTGGAGCGCTGCTTGCGCAGGCGAAGCCCTTTGAGGATACCTCCTGCGAGGGAGGTGCTGCTGCTGGTGGTCTTTTCGCCAGCCAGCGAGTTGCGCCGTCGAGAGCTGCTGCTCGCCTGTTGATTTGGGTTGACGCGGGCGACGAGGACGAAGCCGCCGCGGACGGCGTCTCGGTGCTCCGCCTGGTGGGCGCCCGGGTCCTCGCCCTCGGTGTCGAGTGAGTGCAGCGAGGAGTGGTGGTGGTGNTCGAAGCCCTTTGAGGATACCTCCTGCGAGGGAGGTGCTGCTGCTGGTGGTCTTTTCGCCGGCCAGCGAGTTGCGCCGTCGAGAGCTGCTGCTCGCCTGTTGGTTTGGGTTCACCCGGGCGACGAGGACGAAGCCGCCGCGGACGGCGTCTCGGTGCTCCGCCTGGTGGGCGCCCGGGTCCTCGCCCTCGGTGTCGAGTGAGTGCAGCGAGGAGTGGTGGTGGTGGGCTGAGTTGGGGCCTCCGGAGCTGTTCTGGTTCTGACTGGACTGCGCCATCTTGGTGATGGTCGAGTGGCCGTAGGGGGCGGAGGTGCGGGCGCCGTAGCCGTGTCGCATGCCACGCAGCCATTGGCCTGCAAAAAATGTGATTTTATTATGCTGAAGTCTAATCTGACTCTTCCTTTTTTCACCTTGATATGTGCCCCCGTCGGCGTACGTCTCCGAGCCGTAGCCGTCCTGCAGTCCATTGGCCCAGGTGCCCTCGTAGCGGGCGTTGGAGAGGAGGCTGGCGCGGATGCCGTACCGGCCCTTGTAGCCCTGCGTCCACTCGCCCTTGTAGACCCACTTGCCGCGGTACTCCACGCCGATGCCGTGCCGCTTCCCGTTCTGCCACTGGCCCTCGTACGTTGCCCTGCAATTTGACCATTTTTGAAAATTGGAATGTTTTTTATTACAAGCCGCACCATCACTTACCCTGAAGGCCACTTGTAGATGCCGCTCACCTCGAAGCCGTAGTGCCACGAGCCGGAGTACTCTCCCTGCCCCTTGGGGCCGGTGCAGATGCCGTGGCCATGTGCCTTGCCGTCGTGCCACCCGCCGCAGTACGTCCCGCCGTCGTCAAAGTCAAAGCGACCGCCGCCAATCACAGTGGGCGCACCGCCGGTGGGTGAGCTGCTGGTGCCGTTTGAAGCGGGGGAGTTCATCGTCGAGGCCATTGCTGAGGGATTGCCTGGGCCGCTACCGTTTGGAAGGTTACCGTTGGGGTTGAAGTTGGACATAAAGGTGGGGGTGATACAGGTGGTGGTGATGGTGACTGCTCCAGGGGATGATGATCACACTGGGGTAGTACAGGTGGTGATGAGGGGTAAACCAGGAATGGACGGCTGCTGGGATGGAGGTGATAAAAGTGGTGATGGAGTTATCAGTGAAAATGGTGGGGATGCACTCGGAATGATGCATGCGATCGTCTGTAGTCAGGGCTGAAGTTTCTCTAGTAAAGATGATCTGTTTTGAAGGCTATTTTACAAGGTAGTAAAGAGTTAGTAATGGCCTGCAAATGTACACCAAAAAGGTGCACAGAAAATGTAATTTATGCTACGCTTTGTGACCGAATGTTCAGCCAACANAAGGCTATTTTACAAGGTAGTAAAGAGTTAGTAATGGCCTGCAAATGTACACCAAAAAGGTGCACAGAAAATGTAATTTATGCTACGCTTTGTGACCGAATGTTCAGCCAACAGTACTGCACACAGTACGGCACTTCTGCTGTCTTGTGAACTGTGTCAATATTCTTCTCGCTAGCTAGTCACTTTCTCCTTCTCCTTCTGAGCATATCTCGCATAATTGTCTCGTCCGACAATATCTTTCGCTCTCGTTTGCCATTCTCTCTCACTTTGCCTAGCCTTCCTCATATTTCGAGG